AGTGGGAACAAAAATGATGTCCGCAACTACAGACCGATATCAAAGCTATCGTCAGTCTCCAAATTATTTGAGATTGTTGTAAGCTGTAAACTGTCTTTTGCTGTTAAAAACCTAACCGCTCAACAGTCACAAACTTGGCTATTTTCAGTGATTACTGCTTATCTGCTTTTGAAAACAAAGCTCAGGTGGATACCATCTACACTGACTTCTCGAAAGCTTTCGACAAAGTATCACATCGTTTACTTCTGCTGAAACTGATCTCTTTTGGATTTCATTCGACATTTTTGTCTTGGGTTAAATCCTACTTAACTGATAGGCGCTGCTTTGTAGTAGTCGATAATGCAACCTCACAACCGTTCACCGCGTCCTCGGGTGTCCCTCAAGGCAGCATTCTCGGTCCCCTATTTTTTGTGCTTTTCATCAACGATATCAGTTCTTGTTTCAAATTTGCTAATTACCTACTTTATGCTGATGACCTTAAAATATTTGCAACTATCAAAAACCTTTATGACTCAGCCAACCTGCAATCGGACCTGAACAGAGTTCATGAATGGTGCTGCAAAAACCAGTTGACGCTAAATATCGGCAAATGCTTTCATGTATCCTACAGTAGACATCTCAATACTTTGCATACATCATATTCTATCTCTGGCTCTGTTTTGCAATCTGTGACCCAAATGAAGGACCTTGGTGTTGTCTTTGACTCCAAATTCGCATTCAATAGTCATGTCGATTACATCCTCTCGCGCTCATACTCGATGCTAGCTTTTATCCGCCGAAACTGTCAGGCGTTTACGAACCCTTACACTCTTAAAACTCTGTTTTGTGCACTAGTCAGGTCAAGACTGGAGTATGCAACGTTTATTTGGAGGCCTTACACTAAAATTCTAGCTAACCGATTAGAACGTGTTCAAAAAGTTTTCATAAAATTTGCTCTCCGTTCATTAAATTTTTCTTTACCACTTCCTTCATACTATTCTCGCTGCCAACTAATCAACCTTACAACACTGGATAACAGAAGATCCATTTTAGCGTGCACGTTTGTCGTTAACATCATAACTGGCTCAATTGACTGCCCTTCTCTTCTAGAAAAGATTGCATTTAATATTCCCTCTAGAATCCTCCGCCATTGGGATTTCTTTAAAATAGGTTTCTCTAGAAGCAGTTATGGTGCCAACGCTCCGATCTCTAGAACGTGTGCTGAACTTAACCTAGTCTTCAACGCTTTGGATATGGATTTCTCACAATCAGGCCCTGCCTTGGTTACTCATCTGCGAACATTTTTCTCTGCGCTATACCACTAGCGATGTATTTAATCTTAGCTCTTGTGAACTTAATGTATTTAAAACTTATCTTAATTTTTAAGTTTTAGTAGCACTTAATTAGTGTTAGCTGAGTAGTCTGTAAGAATATTCTGTATTCCAAGACTGAAATAAATAAATAAATAAATAAATAATTTATTCGTGAATAAGTTATCTGCGAATAATTATATTACGGATAAAATTTTATTCGAATAATTATCTAAATAACAATTTATTCGAATAATGCCCAACTCTGCCTGGAACGCGAAAAACCACTTTTCCTGTAACTACTTCGATTTTTTTTTTAATGTTAAGCGCCATGGAGACGATCAAATATCTTTATCAACCGTCTCGCGTTTTGCTTGACAAAAAACAAGCGCACTTGCCTCCTGATCGTCGTGGTGAGCAAGTGCGCGGACAAGAAAAATAAATTGTTTGTTGAATTAACGCGTTTATTTGAACGTTTGCGGGCAACATATGCAATGCTTGACGTATTTATTTGATTGTCTCCGTGGCGCTTAATGTTCGTTGCTATCTGTTTTTGCTTACAAATGCAACCCTGCCTATCGTTTGACACTTTTCATGCACGATTGAGAGAATACAAAGGTTGTGCCGATCTCGGACCGCTATTCCTCTCTTAACGAATTTGACAGAATCGTTGTTTGCATGACGTCACACTGGTGCAACTTGTTTACATTTTCCTTGCAACATTTTTTCTTCTTCTTCCATTCTTGCTCACGTTTTGGCATTTCTCTCTCGCAATTGCACCAGTGTGACGTCACATAAAAGTTATTCTCAAAAATCCTCTCTGATCGGCGCAATCTTGTATTCTATCATTCTTGCTTTTCATGAACTTGCAGGAAGAAAAACTTCGGACTAAAACCTGCAACTTCTGACTGAGAGAGAGAGCAAGGTACTCTCACAAAAGTAGTTTGACTTGCAGGTTTTTTGGCACCTGGAACGCTTTCCTGCAAAAAAAACCTGCAAATCGTGAATATCGTGAGCATCTGAAACGCAACTATTGTGGTAGATCCTCCACTTTTTTGAGCATCTACCACATCTGCCACACAAGGTCTGAACTCTACCACATATTCGCGTTTTTGAGTACCTGGTTTTATTTTTGCTCGACATAATTTTCTTTATTTTAAGAGTAAAAATTATCCAACACTAAACACTATATGTTAACAAGAATGATATAATACAAGATTCCGCATTCCCGGCGGTGATGAAATTTCTCAAGTAAAAGTAAACAGAGCCGAATGGGAGGATAAAATAAATAATATAAAAAAAACCTTTTAATTTACAACGCTTTTATAAATGGACTAAAAAGTATAAAATAATATTTCTCAGTCCCATAGAATTTGTTTTGATAACTTTTGATTTTGAAATTTTAGCAAAAGTCATTATAAACAATCTATGAAATTGAAAATGAAAA